TCTGGTTGCATTTATTCTTTGATGAGTCCAGTGTTCCACCCCACTAAAGGAGAATATTTCTAACATTGAGATAAAGAATCAAAACTATTTTAAGGACATTCCACTTGGTGCTTTCTTTACTCTAAAAAAAAAAAGAAAGAAAGAAAGAAAAAAGAAAATCATACATAAACCAGGAGCTTAGAAGATAAAGAAAACTTACTTTTTCCAATATCTGTTCTTTTGTGTTTATTTGTTCCTGTATCCTTCTCTGTGTCAGTGGATATAGCTCAAACTATATATTCCTGTGATCCCATTACTCATTCAAGGTACTGGCCACATAAAGGTGTCTATATGGAGGTATAGATGAAGGTGAAAAGGAAGAAGACATGAGAAGGAAGAGAGATGGAATAAGACCCTTCATGAGAAAGGGAGAGGAAATGGTCTCCAAGGGGAAAAAAGTAGCAGAGAGTGTAGATTTATCCATTATGAGAATAAGAATGTATTAACGTAGAGAGTCCATTTTTTCCAAGTACAGAAAAACTGTGTTTTATATATGCAATAAGAATAATAAACAGTGCTAGTGCTCTTATTGACGGACTTCTTCAAGACTCATTCATCTCTTTATCGTTTCTATTTTCCAACATTTCAACATTATTCCCATTGGAGTCCAATGTTTGAGGGATCAAGGATGCTGATGCCAGAGTAGGGAGCAATTTGCTTAGAAGAGATATGAAGAGGCATTTACAGATTTGAACACCTTGAGGCAGTAACCTCAACTGAAATCTGGGGGAACAAAGCAAAAGGAAGATGCCCTGGAATGAGACCAAAAAGCATCTCAGGTTTCCTAGTTCCCACCTGGTGCTTCAGGGACATCTAGAATCATGGAGAAGGGAGACAGATGGAAAAACAAGCCCTAATTCTACTTACTCTTGTCTTCATTGATGAAAGCACCAAGGGACATATGAGTCTTCACTGTTTTATCAACACTTGAATGTTAGGAATATGCTCAGTTAATGTCTTCTTGGTCTAAATTCTTCTTCTAGTCTGTTCCCTGTGTTGATGAATCACAAATGTAGAATCTGAGATGTATAAATCAGAATCTCTTTTTCTCTGTCTCAAGAATATATCTTCGAAATTCTCACAAAATTTTCTGTCACAAATTTCTTGTACCAGGAAACTATGGAATATCTCTCTGTATCCTCCCTGATGGCATGACTATATTCTCCATCTAAACCTTCATATTTTCACTCAAAAACCTATCTTCCCATGTTATTATTGACTATTTCTCCATCCCATTGCTTCCTTTGATGATAATATTTGTACCTTCTTCTATTTATTGATCTTCTTGGTACAAACATCACACTATTTTCTACAAGAAGCATATAATTTATTTTCTATTCCCTTCCTACTTACTATTATGGCAGAGTGTAATCTTATTCTTGCCTTCTGTATATCTAACATCCTACACATAAGTTAGAAAGTCTGGGTAGAGCTCTTTGCACATTCTCATAAAAGTAGGGTTTTTGTTTTCGTTATTTTCCATAAAAGCCTTCCATAGAGCACCTCACCCCAAGGAAACAGCCTCACTTACATGTGCTCACTCTGGGGCTCTACTAACCTCACAGACTTCCGACTGTGCTCAGATAAAATATTAATTAGAATGGGCTGAGCCCGTCTATCTTTTTTTATAAACTGGGACTGTGGCTTAGTATTTCGCTCCCTCTCTTCTTATGCATAGATCTCACTGAGGCAAAACCCGTAAAGCTTCTGAAAACATTTTTCTAGGGAAAGTCTGCCCTTTGGGGAATGCCATAGCCTTGCATAATGTCAACAGTGGGGCAAGGAGAAACCCCAAGGGGAAATTGATTCCCATTTTATCATATCAAGAAACCACCTTTCCTAACCTATCTTTTCTGTATTAATCCAAATATCTTAATTCAGCTGAAGTAGCTGCAAAGCACGAGGTTTTATGAGACAGCAGTAGGACAAGTCTGTTGTTTCCACTCTGCTCTCCTATGACTTTCTCATTCCCTGCCCTCACCCAGTTGTATCCTTTTCCTGGATTTCATCCAGCCATTTTGCTTATCTATTTGATAACTATCATCTCAGAATACTTGATTTAAACGATCTTTGAGTATCGAAGACACAACAGGAGGCAGAGTACCACATTGAAAAATCTGAGATTAGATGCAAAGTGGAGAGATTTTTGGTCTCATTTAAAAATATAGTAATAATGACATATGGCTTATTGATATAGACTATATGTTGTGAAAATGATCATCAATTGAATACATATCAGTATTTTCCACCACTGACCTGCCCAGAAGAAATTCAGTCACATGCTTGAAAACCAAACTACTAATTGGAAATATGATCAAAATTCAGTGGAAACAGAAAGAGATTCTAATCCATCAAAATGTAATCAGTTTCTTAAAAAAAAAAAAAGTAATATATTCATTCTTTGTTTACAGAGGAATTATTTGACTTTTTAACAGCCCTATTCACTTTGGAAAAGTGACTTCTTCCCCAGCTAGGTACAGGCTGATGTCATTGTCGAATGCCCTTCCACTCCAGGATTTGAGGTAGGAGATAAGGGGACTGAAAATGGTTGGATGTGATTCATCTCAACCAGTCTCACTCTAAGCATACAGTCCTGGATGCCTAAGGTTTTTCTCCCTCTCCCTGACTCCTTACCCCTGTCCATACATGTACACCTCTGCTTTAATTACTGCTCTAATGAACAGATCTAGACATTGAATAGCAACAGCTGCTAACAGCACCAAAAAATAACATACCCAGACATTACGTCTCCCACATATGGAAGAACACACCACCACCTATGAAGCAGTCTCCCCTTTCCAGTAGTCAAACATGAATCTGATCGAGCTTCTATATTCAACTTCAAACTTATAGAAAATGCAAAGTACAAAGGAATGTGTTAAAGTACAATCCAGTGATAAAATCAGACAAATCTAGATAAGAAAATTTCACAATGTCTTCCACAAATAAACCGTTAGAGCTAATAAATGAATAAAGCTAATAAGTGTCAACAAAGTTGCAGAACACAAGATCAACAAGATAAACAAGTTGCATTTATATATATCAGCCATGAATAATCTGCAAGGGAATTAAGAAAATAATTTCATTTACAATAACATCAAAAGTAATTAAATATTGTAGAATAGATTTAAAGAAGTGGAAGACTTGTATACACTGAAAACTATAAAACATAGCTGCAATAAATGAAAGAATACTTAGATGAATGGAAATATATCCCAAGTAATGGATTGGAAAACTTCATACTGTTAAAATGACAAGTCTCCGCAAATTGATCTACTGATTCAATGCAATCGCTATCAAAACCCCAATGGACTATTTTAAAGAAATGGAAAAAGCAATCCTAACATTCATATGGAACTGCAAGGGACTATGAGTACCCAAAACAATCTTGGGGAGAAAATAGAAATGTTGAAGGACTCATGCACCCACATTTCCGAACTTATTACAAAGCTACAGCAATCCAAAGAATGTAGTACTTGCAAAAGGATAGACATATAGATCAATGGAATATAATTGAGAGTTCAGAAATAAACCCATTCATCTTTGTCAACTGATCTCTGACAAGAGAATAAAGAATACTCAATGGGGAAAGAATAGTTTCTTCAACAAATGGTGCTAGGAAAATTGGATAACCACATATAGAAAAATGGAATTGAACCCTTATCTTATACCCTATACAAAAATTAGCTTGAAATGGATTAAAACTTAAACATAGACCTGATACTATAAAATTCCTAAAAGATAACAGAAGGGAAAAGCTCTTTGACATTGGTTTAGTCAGCAAATTTCCGGACATGACACCAAAAAAACGCTATCAAGTGGGACTACACCAAACCAAGAAGTTTCCGCACAGCAAAACAAAATGGGATGGTAAAATTCAATGGAATATTTTTCAGCCATGAGAAAGAAGGAAACCCTTCTATTTGTGACAACATGGGTAGACCTCGAGGGCACTATGCTAAGTGAGATAAGTCAGACAGAGAAAGACAAATACTATATGATATCACATATACATGGAATCTAAAAAAGCTGAACACAAAAACAAAGTAGAATGGTGGCCTGGGGGTGGGAGGAATTGGGGAAATGGTTTAAGGGTACAAAACTGCACCTAGTAGATAAGTCAGTCCTAGAGATCTAATGCACAGCATAGTAATCATAGACAACAACACTGTATTATCGATTTCAAACTTGCTAAAAGACTAGATCTTAATTTTTCCCACCACATAAGAAAAATGATAATACACGATGGGACAGAGGTATTAGTTAACAATTAAGTGGTAACCATATTGCAATATATAAATGTATCAAATCAAAATACTGTACAACTTAAACTTATACAATATTATATGTCAATTATATCTCAATCACACCATTCAGAATAAGATGCACACACTATGAGAGGTCCATGGACACTAGGGCTACCATATGGAATAGCAGAATCATGGTCCCCATTTCATACTCACTTCGGGGCATATATTTACTCACTGAATGGAACAGGTATGAAATTGCCATCCCCTTTTATCTAAACTATTCTCTTCCACTGACTTTCTGATATACACCAACACACTTCCCACATGCAAGCACACCAAATTAAATGTGACTGTAATTAACTTCACTGTCTCTGCTTTAGTTCAGATTTTCACACTAACATTTTCATATTTTTTTCAAAACTCTGGAATTGAACAACTCAAGCCTGGTGACTGACATATCCACTTTGATAACCGAAGATAAATGGCCTGAGGGCGGGGTCCCAGAGACATGCTGCCGAGGAAGCCCTGAGCACGTGTGGCATGAATGTAGAATGTTCACAGCTCTGTCAGAACACAGCATCAACAAGAGCCAAATCTAGACTTCCATAAGTTGTCCTGGCCATCCCTCCCTGTCATCTCTCCAAAGCCATCCATGCTCAAATCTGCCCGCTTCTCCCCTCACCTAACCAATACGGTTCTTGAGCAGGCTAATCAGGAGTCCACCGTCCCCCATCCAAGCGGACAGCAGGCTGCACTCTTGACCTCCTCGTTGCAGAGGCTGTACACAAAAAGACTGGCCAAAGGTGTAAAGGTGATGTACCTCACGGTAGCCACAATGCCCTGACCCTGAGAGGTCTGGGAAGGAGGCTGAAAGTAGACACAGGTGATGGCGCCACAGAGGAAGCTGACCACGGTGAGGCGGGATCCACGGGTAGAGACCACACAGCAGTGACCAGCAGCTGAAGGCAAACGTAGGATAATGGCCCCAGTATGGACACAGGATAGTACAATGGAGGCACGGTGGCTTAGCAGGAGGAAGCCATCCTCCAAGAATACAGCTGGCTCATTGGAATGTATGTCAGAGAAAGAAGCTCATGAAGTAGCCAGTGGTCACGAAGAAGTGGGGAAGGTTAACGTCACCCTTTACTCCAGACGAGTAAAGAGGCAAGAGGAGCGAAACACAGTGTGCATTATGGACGCTGCACAGCTCACGGCCTGAAGGTGGGCACGGAGTTGGCAATTCATCACTGACTGGTAGTGCAGAGGGTCAACGAGGCCATGGAGAGATCCAGAGCCATAACAGATATAAGAAGTGTATCTGTAACTCCAAATTCATCGAAGAAAAAGAACTGGGCCAAGCAGCGGGCCGCAGGAATGGCTGGGTGAGTAGAGATCATATGGGCCAGCAGCTTGGGCAGAGCGACTGTAGACATCCCTGTGTCTATCATGGAGAGATTGCAGAGCAGCAAGTACACAGAAGAGAAGAGCCAGGAGTGCCAGGAGATGAGCAGCATCAGAGTCACATTCCCCAGTATGGTGGTCAGGTAAATAGCCAAGAAGAGGAGGAGGAGGAGGCTGGGGAGACTCTAGCTCTTGAGAAGCCACGGAGCAAGAAGACTAGAGAATGTGAAGCATTAAGGTCAAGTCCATGTTACGTGACAATGAGCCTGTAAGGATGAGAACACTATACATGAAGTGCTGAGTGTAGGGCCTGGCATGTAGTAAAGGCTCAAAAGATAATTACTGTTGTTGCTGCTTCCAATGCTCCTGCTACAATCATTGTAGGCATTACAGTCAAAGTGAATTCAAGTTTTTCAGACGTTGATAGGATGCACTGTTTGTAGTCCAATCCCCCCATCTGACTGTGTGCTCCTGAGGGGAAGGGGCTGTGATGAATTCACCCCTGTATCCAATGACCTAATACAGTGCCTGGCAGAGAGCAAGCGCTCCAGAATGAGTGGCTGGATGAATGGCCAGTAAGTAACCATCCTTCTCTCATTAACTCAAACTCCTGCCCCAACTGAAATGCCCTATCTTGCCTATCATTCTCCAACACAGCACTCTTGTTTACCAAGAGTAAATGTGCATGGGATTAACGTATTATTTTCTCCTTATTTCCTTTGTTTTCACAATCAGTTAGTTAATCCAGTCTCCTATCTCCTTACTGGGCTAACTAAACATCTCTAACCCAGGGATGGAGCTATTACTAAAGTTTTTTTTAAAATAATACAATGTACTCCCACAAATGTATGTGGTGCTTTAATCCTAGGAATACACATAATACGGAGCAGACATAGTGCTCAGCCATGAAGGGGTGGCACGGACTCAAGCTCATGCTGTGATATCAGGCAGCAAAGACCGTACGTAGCACATTGCGGAGGCTGATTTATGTTTATAAACCTAATTAATGAAATTACAAAGCCTCATTTACAGTTTTTGGAGAAAAAAAAGACCCAGAAAAGTAAAGACTTCATCTTGGGTTTAGTTACACAATCAACAATGAACAAAAAATGCACTTTACAATCATCGCCTTTCTAGCCGTGTTTACGGCTTTTTACAATTATTTAAAACCAATTTTCACTTTAGGTGACAGAAAAACAATTTGAGAGCAAGAGTGTCTTACTACTAACATTAACTGGAAGGAAAATGCAACAAAGTAAGCCTGCCTTTATGACAAGCTTATTTAAGTTTAATTTACATTGAGACCTTCATTACAGTATGATTACATGGCTAGCAAAAGACCTTTGTTTCGTTCTTTTGTTGTTGTTTTTTTTTTAAATCATAGACTAAGATATTTTACAGACCAATGTCTGAAAAAAAGTTCTTTTGGGTTAAAATGATAAGCTCCATAATCTCCCTTTGATTAAAGCTGATTATCACCTTACGGGAAAATTTTCTGATGTTATTTTTTTTCATTCTCAAAGAGGAGCCTTAGATTAGTATGTTTCCATATTTTCCCTTTGATATTTTATTTTGTCTTCATATGGCTGATCAAATTGCAATCATGAAGAATTTTTGTGCACTTTTTTCCCACCATTCTTCCTTTAGGACCCTCACAGATAAGAGTTTTGTCCCAGTGTTTATATCTTTTTGAGACATTTACCCTTTTATTAATCTATAATGTCTTTATTTCTTGTAACAATTTTTTTACTTAAAATATGTTTTATCTGATATTAGCATAGCCACCTCAGCTACCTTTTGGTTACTATTTTCATTGAATATCTTTTTCCAGTCTTTCACTTTGTTTTTAAATTGAGGATACATTGGTTTATAACATTATGTAAGTTTCAGGTGTATAGTATTATGGTTATGTAGTTGTAGGTCTACAACCACAATGTGTCACCACAGAAGGTCTAGTTTCCACTACAATTGACCCACTTTCCCCATTTCACCCTCCCCCAAAGCCCCTCCCCTCTGGTAACCACCAATCTGTTTGTCTGTATCTATGAGTTGCTATTTTTATAATTTGTCAGGATTTTTATACTTCACATATGAGTGAAATCATATGGTATATATCTTCTCTATTTGACTTATTTCATTTAGCACAATACCCTTAAGGTCCATCCATGTTACCGTGAATGGCAAGGTTTCATCTTTATGCGGCTGAGTAGTATTCCATTATGTACATGTACCATATCTCTTTGTCCGTTCATCCATCAATGGACACTTAGATTGTTTCCAAATCTTAGCTATTGTAAACAATGCTGCTATGAACATAAGAATGCATATCTTTTTGAATTAGTGTTTCACATTCTTCAGATAAGTACCTAGAAGTGAAATAGTTGAATCACTTGGTAGCTCTATTCTTAATTTTTTGAGGAGTCTTCTTACTGTTTTCCATAGTGGCTGCACCAATTTACAATCCCACCAACAGTGTACGAGGGTTTTCTTTCTTTCACATCCACACCAGGACTTGTTATTTCTTGTCTTTTTGATAATAATCATTCTAAAGGGTGTCAGTTGATATCGCCTTATGGTTTTGATTTGCATTTCCCTAATAATTCGTGATGTTCATCATCTTTTCATGTGCGTATTGGCCAACTGTTTGACTTCTTTGGGAAAATGTCTGTTCAGATCCTCTGCCCGTTTCTTAATCAGATTGTTCAGGTTTTGTTGTTGTTGTTGAAATGTATGAGTTCTTCATATTTTTTGCATATTACCCCCTTACCAGATGTATAACTTGCAAATATCTTTTCCGATTGGTTAGGATGCCTTTTCATTTTGTCGATGGTTTTCTTCGCTGGGCAGAAGACGTTTACTTTGATGTTGTCTCATTTGTTTATTTTTGTTTTGCTTCTCTTGCCATTGGAGTCAAATCATAAAAACATCACTAAATCGATGTCAAGGAGCTTAGTGCCTATGTTTTCTTCTACGTATTTTGTGGTTTCAGGTTTTACATTCAAATATTTAATCCATTTTCAGTTAACTTTATTGGCATGGCGCAATATTTTAGTATTTGGAACTATTCAATGACAACAATAATTAAATAAAAGCATATCATTTTGATAAGAGTTAAATCTGCTACCTCCATTGTAGTTGGTTTCTTCTCTAGAAAAACAAAATATTTTCTTTAGAATTAAAATCTACTAATTACACCTTTTAATCAGATTAGACTTCGCAGGAGAAACAGTAACTAGCAGAATGAGTGTAAATTAAAATAATATGATGGTCGTTATTTAGCAAGACTCTGATACAAATAGGATGATAAAAATGAATATTTTACATTTTTATATACTTCTATATCAAAAATAAGTATTGACATTTCAGGATGGAAATTAACAAAATAAAAAATAGATGAAATAACTTTATAGTCAAAGAACTAAGGGAATAATACTGTCTTCTAACATTTTAAAATATATATTACTTAGACAGTTAGCTTAGTCAATGCATAGGTCAATTTCATAAATATTTATTAAGCAACATCTACACTATATGCTGGGTGTGAGGTGCTATGGGATCCTAGTCTATAAGTCACGGGGAGAAAATGATATGTCTTTTCCATAGTGAACAGACTGTAGCTCATGGTAAACACATAACAAATATTTATGGACCGACTGGGGCAAATGTAGATGAACTGACCACTATTCTCTATTTCAGATACTCCAAATTCTTGTATTTAATTTAGTCTAAAATTTCATCGATTGTAAGATGCATTATTTTAATGTACCACTGAGGAAAAACTGCTGCTGATTATTTGTGACATGCCATAGATTTACACACATCCCAATATAAGGGATGTTAAAACGTGTAAAAATATGAGTCACTGAATCAATAAAATATGGTAGCTGGATCACAGAAAATATAGAGCATAGTGTCTGGAATCAGGCCTGGATCTGAATCATTGCTCCAAAGAAAAGTAGTCCTTATGTTAAAAGTATTTAGCTTTCAAGTTTAATCTAGAAAAGAAAAAAGTAAGGCAAAATTTTGGCTCCATCAGTCATTTGAAAGCTGTTCCTTAACATAAAAATTTAACTTTGTCCAAACCAAACAGAGAGATCTTTTAGTGTAGTAGTTCAACTACATGGTTTGGCTTCAAACAGCCTTTGGTTCAGGTTATGTTTTTCCAGTTACTTTATTTTCCTAAGTCACTACAAAATGGAGACAGTAAGTATATATATTATAAGGTTGTTATGTGGTTTACATGTAAAAAGCTTATAAATCTCTGAGTACATAAATGTTAGTTGCCTTCCTTTAAGTGAAAAATAATGTGACAATGAATGAAATTTGCGTTTAATATCAATTCATATGGTAGAGGGGTCAGAGAAGACAGATACTTCATTCCTTTAGGTCATCAAAAAATGCTTTTTGTAAGAGGCTGCATTTGAGAATGGAGACACAGATGAAGGGCGAAATATAAGAAAGTGACATGGGTTAATTGTAAGATCTGATCAGAAACCACCAAGAGACAGGAAACAGGCAACATGTATTTGGTAGGGTGTGTTGGGACTCTAATATATGGTTTCTGTGTGCTTTCGTGAATTAAGAAAAATAAAAGACCCGAAGCTGGTGGCTTTTCCTAGTTGTAATAGCAAGGCATGGTAATTATATATCTGAGCAGCAGACTTGGGGATTGGCCTAAGGTTTTGCTCAAAGGTTACGACATTCCTTTTGTTATATCTGCTAGTCATGAACTAGTAGATATATCTAAACTTGGGGGAGCGGACAGAAGATACCCAATGTTGGGGGACTCAACATTGCAGTTGTCATTCAGAGAAATGGAGGAGCTGAGGGGGAGGACTGATCGAAGCTTTATAGGTTCAAGGGAGAAACTGGACCCAGGTGTCCTGCCTCATACTTTGTCCTCAGTGCTACTTTGGGATGACATCTTCCAGGTAAGCCCTCAGAAAGGCTGGAAGAGCCAGGGATAGAAAAATATTGTCCATCTCCAACATCTACGCCAGGCTAAGCAGATGTTGCACTATACCCAGAGGGTCAAGGGGAGGAATGCGGGGTCACTTGGGGAGGAAGAACACTGTAATTCCTCTGAATCCTTGGAGACAAACCTTCACTAAGTTAAGAGATGTTTGTTTTCTTACTCGCTCCCCTCCAAACACCAGGGACTTATGACATAGTCTCAGAAGATACTCCCATGAGGGAAGCAGGGGATGTATCAATACCTTGTGAAGGAAGAAAAGAATCCAAGGAAGGGAA